TTGTATACACAGCCCTATATCACTAAAGACAAAATGAGGTATTTTGGGAGAGAAGCAACGGGTTGTCTGTTTGATAGAAATATATCCCTTGTAGGGCATTGTATACTCCAAAAAAACACTCCCACTTGAAGTAATTAGTACCATTTTAAAGGAATATTCAATATTTATGTGAGATTGCAAACATCCTTAAAATCATCTGAGAAACTCTAGGTAATATAGATTACTGATATAGATGACAAAAGGATGCTCTAAGCAGAACTAGGCCTAAACAAAAGTGAAATAATGTATGCAAAACTGTCTTTCGACTGATAAGCGATTTTACTTTCAATTAAAAGCAATTTGAAACAATAGAAAAAAAAAACAACCAACAAACAAAAAAACCCATGAGCTTTAAGTAACAATCATAAAGCAACAAAGACTGAAAAACAAAACCAAACTTTTAATCTATTGAACAATGCCTACTTTGGAGAAACAAACTACTGTTTTTCTACAGCTCTGTCCTTGGTACTTCACAGTATTACAACAGATGGATTCCTCTGTTTGTTTAAAAAAAAAAAAAAAAAGGGTATTGAAAGAGATCTCAGTTTATGCTGATTTACTACCTTATGAAATTTAGCTGAAATCAGTAGTGTTACCTAGCTTTGAGAAGTTGGGTTTGAGATTTATTTATTAAATTACCTGCAGTGCAGTCTCAAGATGTCAGAGAAATCATCTATAGAAGGCCACTTTATATGTATTTTTGAAGTACAAACTACCTTATTAAAGCCACATTGTAATACATTCTTCATCTACAGTATAACACAATTTAAATCCTTTCTGCGCTGAAATTGCTATGAAAATCTCAAATGCTTTCAGAGTTGCCAGGAATTAAGAAGGATATCAACTGATTGGAGCGAGTCCAGAGGAGGCCATGAAAATGATCAGAGGGCTGGAGCACCTCTGCTGTGGGGACAGGCTGAGAGGAGTTGGGCTTGTTCAGCCTGGAGAAGAGAAGGCTCCAGGGAGACCTTATAGCCCCTTCCAGTACCTGAAGCGGCTACAAGGAAGCTGGGAGAAGACTTTTTACAAGGGCCTGTAGTGACAGGACAAGGGGTAACGGGTTTAAACTGAAAGCGGGGAGATTCAGCTTGGACCTGAGAAAGAAGTTCTTCACGGAGAGGGTGGTGAGGCACTGGAACAGGTTGCCCAGAGAAGCTGTGGAAGCCCCATCCCTGGAAGTGTTCAAGGCCAGGCTGGACGAGGCTTTGAGCAACCTGGTGTAGTGGAAGGGGTCCCCGCCCATGGCAGGGGGGGTGGAACTAGATGGTCTTTAAGGTTCCTTCCAACCCAAACCATTCTATGGTTCGATGTAAGGTTACAGAATTGACACATTTCAGCACTGTGAGAAATTACAATGTTCAGATTCAGATAAACCATCAGATGGAGATTATGTGATTATACAATCTAAATTGATGCAGTTTAAATTGTCCTAAATGGCAAAAAAGTTGGAATTCAGAGCCATAAGTTATAACAGAAAATAAAAATATACCGCTGAAATCAGCCATTAACCTAATCTGTTACATTCTTTAGACTTAATGTACTAATAGCCAACTGCTAAGCCAACCTCACATTTGAGTTTCTTGAAGAAGGAGGAAAGAGAGATCATCAAATGCTCCTGTTTATGTTGTTTCTGTCTTTGATTGTTACCCATTAAAAATTGTGATTTAATCCTTAATAACTTGTTCCTTGATCAGATCGCACTTTGATTTATTATTTCTGTCTGTGAACACTGGGCTGTGTGTGCCAAGTAATTTGTATCAAATACTGAGACACAAATGCTAGGAAAAAATAAAGAGCATGTGGAACTACAATATACTTAGGATATATCATGGCCAAAACCAGTAATTAGAAATGACTCTAAAGGTGGGGGTTTTTTCCCCAAGTTCTACTAAATGGCTGTTTCAGTTTCAAAGGTTATACCAAAACCAGCAAACCTAACTGGTCTCTTGTAAGCACATACAAGAAGCATTATTCCATTATGGTATTTTTTTTGTAAAAGGCTCTCATAGAACTGCAGGCCAAAGATGGGCTAAACTTGCAAAGGTTCTCTTCAGAGTTTATGCTTAAAATAATCAGTTCAGTTGTGGTCTTGTAATATCAAAGCCTATTCCATTCACCACCTAGATTTCATGCTGGATACTGAAGTATCCAACGCAGGGAAAGACTAAAAATCACAAAGATTTTCCAGTTTCTACTGAATAACTAATAGTTTTGTAAAGCTTAAAAAAAAAAGTTTCCATTACATTCAAGATGGTAGTAGAAAGGTTACAAATTAGATTTTTTTTTTTGCATATGCACACAAATACACATACTAGATAGAGAGCAGGCACTTCCTTCTGAATATGTGTCCTTTACTTTCATAGGTATTTGTAAGGTAACTTCATGCCCCGTATATTCCAACCAGCATTTCAGTTAAATTGCTTTTACACAAATTCAAAGAAATTTTCTATTAAACAGAAATGAAGGTTTGTAGGCATATATTTTTTATATCAATGGAAAACTGGCAGATTATCAGCTTGTTCTAAGAACAGCAAAACTACTGAAATCTTATTTCTTTTATATCCATGTCTTTATCCCCCAAACCCCTTTCCTCTTTTTACCCTGGTATTAACTTCAGTTTCCCTCTATGACACAGTGAGATAAAACTACTGTATAGACATACAAAAAATATAATACTTATAATTTTCACCCCCAAAATGAATGGTGTTTGAGAAATTTAGGAGTATCAACCTCAACTTTCTTTCCTACAATCCTCTGCTGGGTTCAGAATTTATTTTCTCTATGTGAGCAGGAGGCGATTCTTCTTAAAAATGTTTTTCACACTCTCCATTGCCTAACAGAAGCAAAAAAAAAAAAGAAAAAAAAGCCTATGTTCCTGTGTGTAATTGAGTATTTAAAATACAGGTTGTCCAGAGAAGCTGTGGATGTCCCATCCCTGGCTATTTTCAAGGCCAGGCTGGATAAGGCTTTGACCAAAAAAGAGAGACTTTTTACAAGGGCCTGTAGTGACAGGACAAGGGGTAATGGGTTTAAACTGAAAGCAGGGAGATTCAGATTGGACATCAGAAAGAAATTCTTCCCAGAGGGGGTGGTGAGGCACTGGAACAGGTTGCCCAGA